ATGCAGCTCCATTGGTCCCTATACGGGGTGTCCCCAACTGCTATCGCTTACAGTCGGTCAACCTGACAATCCTTCACGACCCCGTGAAGAGGTATCTGTAACAACAACAGTAAATATTAGAAAAAGTAATGAGAATGAACCTGTTCAGTTTCAGAGTTACTCTCGCTTGAAGAGATCTTTGTAACGAACAGCTTCATTCGGTGTGCGGGATAGATCCCCGCCGTATAAGCCGTTCTCATACGTTTCGAGCCCGGCAGGTTCTCTATTACGTAACTATCGTTATCAAGAACATTCGTAACTGTAAAGGGTCCCTTATATCGTGGTTCGAGATTTCTACTCTGACCGTCATTTGTACCCTTTACACATCGGACAAGCACGTCATGTTGTCCTGCGTCAAACGTTTTTGTTGAAGCATGCTTCTTATCGTAACACGTTTTTCCGTAACTGAATGAGATGCGTTATATCTCATACTACATATTCAGAAAAGCATCGTTAATGTTTCTGGATGACTTCTCCCCAGTGGTAGAATTAATCGTTGAATTAATTCCCCACTGCACTTGACTTACAACCTCGTCCCAACGATTTTCGTCGTCAGTTGAAACCGTCAAGGCAGAAAGTATTGTGCGATTCATCCTCTCAACTTGGCCGTTAGCTCTTGGAGTTGATGTAGCGCACAACACACGTTTGATGCCCAAGTTGGTATAGAAATTCGTAAAATTCTTGCTCGTATAAGCAGTGCCCAACTTCTGTCAGTGTAGTGGCGAAACAGTCTCTGTACTCGTTAAGTACACGTAACAAATTAAACTGTTCGTCACTAGATAATTCTGGGTTCAAGTTCGCTTGTACATCATTCAACGTAAACTCTTTCAGGGATGAGATGATTGTCCGTAAGCAATCCACTGACTCACCCTGTATATCTTCACAACATACAAAAGTCTTGCGAACACCCTGTCCTTTTCGTAACTGACCGTCTGGTCAAACATGTTTTTTTTATAGCAAGATTACCTCCCTGTTTTAATCTCGTGACGCAGAGAATAATTATATGAAAATTATTTACCCAATTCCGATACTGTAAGTCAACGTAAACATCGTTAATGTTTAGTTTATAGTACCGAGTACTATGAACTGAAATATGACCCACATAATTTGATGAAATGAAAGAGGACTCATTAGCACATATGTTTATTTTTCTAGACGGCAACTCTCCAGCGTCATCATTATCTTCAACTTGAAATAAACGAATTTGGTTATCAACAACATTCTCATTATTTAGAAAGGGTTGACCGATAATTCAATTCGACTTTCATAAGTGGATACTAGTGATCCGGAGGGCGATTGTGTATTTTCGTTCCCATTGTTTGTGGCGTATCTTACCTGCCTTTCAATAGGCTCCTGTAACGAACGTGATCGTCGCGCCACTGCCTGTTTTGAGCGATTTTCTTTTGATCCACCTAGCGATAGCGTAACTCGCTGGGGTAGCGTTGACTTCGTCCGGACGTTCTCTTGTATCTTCCGTCAGAAGAACTAGAGGAACTGTTCGAACTACTGCTGCTTGAGCGACTTTCGTGACGCCGCTGATTCCTTTTCCCCATTTTCTCTAGTATGTCGCACGTAACTGCACACACAAACTATTAAGTTCACCTCTAGTTCACCTTTAGTTCACTTATAGGCCGGTCCTGGTACACCTTTAGTTCACCCCACACCTGAACTGTAAACTCTTTCAAATAAGAAAATAAAAACTACCCAGGTGAAATGTAAAACAGTATATTGTGAGAAAATAATAATGCATAGATAAGTAGAGCACTTGAGACTCGAGAACGAACTCTGTGAAAAGGCTGACTAACACTAACTTCTACATCGTAAATGTAAACTATATAATTTTAAATAAACTGATGCCTCAGCATTCAATCCATCAATGCAGCTCCATTGGTCCCTATACGGGGTGTCCCCAACTGCTATCGCTTACAGTATTTTAGGAACTCATGTTTTTTCTTTCTCATTTCAGCCAATAATAATTGAAAATGTTAAAATTATTAATAAATTATATAAATTATTTTTTAAAGCATGCGATTAATATATTAAATTACCGTTGTTGTCCTCGAGGAGGTATGAGCATACCTTGGCAAAAAACAGCGTTAATTAATTAATTTTCCAAGTAGTGACGACTGGTGAAATATCAGGTATGTTATATCTTAATAACCAGACACGGGACATAGAGAATTTTTGCAGAAGGAGACTGGTTTTATAAGTAGCGAAAACAAGTTGAAAAAATGATGTTCCTCACTTAGAGATTTTCAGATTGACTTCTTTAATTATCGCGAAATATTTTGTTCATAAATGTCAAATTCAAGTTTATCGAGGTATTTAAATTTGTATGATGAAAAAATATTTGTAGAATGTAGAATTTAAAATTTTTATTTTATAAAGTACCAAAAAAATAAAAATAAAATCCAAACTGCTGTAATTTTAACAGAAAGTTCATTTGTTCAATTAATTTGAAATTCCTCGATAAATTTTAGTTTATTTTATGAAAAAAAATCTATTTTTTTCGTAAATTGCAAAACCACTCTCATTCTACAAAAGTATGATCACAGTACTTAGGTAATATCGTAATGTTTCTTTTGATCTGGTTATTAAGATACAGCATACCTGAAATCTCACCAGCAGCCACTGTTTCCAAGATTCGGGATTAAATGTTCAAATACGTTACCATTAATTTCTATGCACAAGTTTACACGTCCGATAAATGAGCGACGAATGCGATCGAATAAACCAGTGTTATTACGTATTTGCTCGGCAACATCTTGGATACGTTGACGCAACTGCTGTACATTTTCTACCTCGGTGTTATACACGATAGACTTCATATAACCCCATATAAAAAAGTTCATAGGGTTTAAGTCCGACGTTCGCGCTGGCCATTTTACAGGCCCTCCTCTCCCGTCGTGCATGTGGTACATGCATTGTGTAGCATCTGAAGGGGAAGATTTTCAAACAATTCTATTAAAAACTGAAAGTAACGCGATCCATGTTCCGGTAGAAAATGCGGTCCAATTCCAATGCGACCTCCATACACTCCTGCCCATACATAGACAACAAATCTCCTCTGAAAGCTAAACGGACGAGTAGTGTGTAGATTTTCGTCTGACCAATTATGACTGTTATGACTGCAAAGAAATGAGGTCTAATTCGGTTTAAAAAATATTTAATATATTTAAGTTACGGATCCAACGGATCAATTAATAAACAATTTACATTTCATTACATAAATAGTGACAAAAAATCAATACGAACTAGGTAAATTATAAGACCGGCATACGCTAGTTAAGGGGTAATTTGCCTATCTTTTAAAAGCGTCGACAGCATTTTTTTATTTCGATTTTCAGTCTTTATTAGGCCTTCCAAATACGTGGTTAAAATTAATGACATTATGATTGAATCACCTGAATATATAATTAGTAGTCATCTATATATATTTTATACTTTTGACATATACTTTAGTCCTGTTTTTAAAATAATTTTCATTTATTTTAATTGTGAACACATTAATAGTTAGATTAGAATGAGTGGTTAATGTACTGAAAAAATTAATAGAATTATGCCAACCCTATTCAATACTAGAAATGTGCGGTGCCTAATGTGAAATTACAAGAGTTTATGAAATCTTTGTCATGGTTTATCTATGCATCGTCTTCATCACGAATGAACTAGCTGGCAGCGAGCAGCCGGACTGCACATTTCTCATTGTAACACATGAGCATAATTTTAGTCTCCACATATGTTTTAATCAATCTTGGTCATGTGTTTAATTGTTGGCCCTTTCACAGTAATACAGGGTGTTCTGAAAGTCCACCAGGAAACTCCGGGAGGTGATTAAAATAATAAGTCTGTAATGAAAATTTTTTTCGAATTGTCAATTGTTTGCAAGTTACAGTTTGTCAAAGTTCATTTTTTTTAAAATTTCTGTTTCTATTTAAATAACTTATTTAATTCAAGTTTGATTAGTCTGTCATTTGGCACAACCACGAAGTAGATGAAGCTCTATGTGACTTGACAGAGAAAAGTTTCATTATGCACCGTTAGAGGGCACTTTACCTAGAACTCAAAATTTGTTTTGTTCATAACTTTTTTCTCTTGCTAGATATCATAGAAACTTAAACATTATTGAGTAGAGAAATAATATCAGGAAAAATATGTATTCTTAATTCAAGCCGATAAATGTAACCGTTTATCAGGAAATCGCTATTAAAGTCTTATTAAACGTCAAATTTTTGATTATTCTTTCTGCAATTAATCAAGTTGCTATGCTGTAATACCAGCTTCATTAGTAAATAAAATATTATTAGAAAATTCATTATTCACACTTTATTTTCCAGAAGGCTATTACAGAGCCGGAAAAAAATATTATGGTGAAAAATCAAATATACCTGCTTTGAACAATTTTTATTACAATTCGTAACACCAAAATTACTAATGATAGGTATTTATTTGAAGCATGGCAACTTTATTAATTATAGAAAGAATTATCAAAAATTTGGTGTTTAATCACATTAATAGCGATTTCCTGGTAAACGGTTACATTCATCAGCTTGAACAAAGAGTAAATCATTTTTTCTGATATTGTTTCTCTTTTCAATAATGTTTACATTTCTGTGATGTCTAGCAAGAGAAAAAAGTTGTGAACAAAACAAATTTTGAGTTCTAGGTAAAGTGCCCTCTAGTGGTGCATAATGAAACTTCTCTGACTGGTCCAATAGACCTATTCATCTACTTAGTAGGTGTGTCAAATGAGAGACAAATCGAACTTGAATTAAATAAGTTACAAAAATAAAAAAATTGAACTTTGACAAGCTGTAACTTGTAAGCAATTGACAATTCGAAAAAAGTTTCATTATATACTGCTATTATTTTAATCCGTAGAATCACCTCCCAGAGTTTCCTGATGGACTTTCAGAACACCCTGTATATGTAGAATTGCAGTTAAATAAAGCTCTAATAAATCTTAATAAAATATATTTTTAAATGTAACATGAATAAAAAACAATTATTTATCTATAAAATATTAAATGACTAATAAATTTAAACAAAAAATACACCATTTGTAAAATTCACACCAAAGTAATATATTACAAATGATGCTTTATAAGTAATATATATTAATACCTACTGGCCTTGCTTAATGTAAACTAAGCAAGCTTTGGTGCAATTAAATTACTTTTTAAAATTATACAATATACATATTAAAACACATTAAAATAATAAAATATAAGTAATGCCAAATCACAATATAAAATATCTTTTTAAATCTATATATTTGACAACACTTATAAATAATTTTAAAATGTGTCCAAAATAGGCCACAACAACTTTTAAAAGGCTGCTCGATAATCACACAGTTTACATTATACAAATTTTGTATAAAAGCACATATTTTGTACTAAGTAATTTAGTTGCCATAGAATATTTAAAATGAAATAAATAAAATAACAATATCACCTATCAGCATTCTGTTTATCATGAAACAATATAACATAATATCAAGCTAGAGGCAATATTACTTCTTAATTAGAGATCGCACTTTATTTACACACCTGTCCATAAAATTTCTTTTTCGTTTAGAATCACTCGAATTACTATATATCGAAGATTTGTCAATATCACTATTGTCTATGGAATAATCCAAGCGATTGTACACGCTATGCGCCTTAGTAGACTTTTTTAAATTACATGTGTCAGTCTCTAATTTATTTTCGTCACTAAATTCTTTTTCTATGTCATCACAACTTTTTGCTGTTTGGGACGGAGTCGGTTCATCAGTAGATGCTTGTGAAGCTGCTATAGTAGGTTCTGAATCGAAGAGACCATCAAGACTTCGAGATCTACTAGGGGTTGGAGGGTTGCTAATCAACGCCAAGGATGAGATGGGAGTATTTGATCCTCTTCGTATGTAAGGATAAAGCGGAGGTAACCCCCTCGGAAATTTGTTGGAATTGATTATCCAGTTACGGGACGGACTGTTTGCCTTACAGAATCTGTAAGTAAGAACTATATTTTATATTAGATATAAATATTGTTAATACAGCACAAGTTACAAATGTACAAATTAAAATAAGCATTATACAGGGTGTCCCTTTTTCAAGCTGCACCATTGGGATCTCAGTTATGTTAAAAGATACAAAATCGATGTAGTTAGGGCAAAGTTGCAGGATTTGATGATGAATAACTTACCAAAGATAAATTAGACCTTTATTTTTTCGTTTTAATGTTATCAATTCTATTTCTCATATTTTTTTTTAATCGAAAAAAGAAAGAGGTAAATTTTTTAAACAGACATCCATACAAGTATTTTATCAAAAAAATCATACTTATAAAAAATGTAGGTTATAAAAAAACAAAAAGAATGATATAATTATGGTGTCTGTAGACCCATAATACAAGTGGAGTAATAACGTGTTCAAGGTTGGTTCTTATTCGTCAAACGCCAAAATTGAAAATTTGAACGTGATATAACCAAAAACCAATGCCCTTTTCAGGGAATACTCATAGAACCATAGAAGTGCTTGAAAAAAACCTTTATTTTTATAAAAGTTCCTAGCATCAAACCTAAGCGAGTTATCGCGAAAATAAAGTTGGTCCGTATTTTTTTCGGAGACAAAAAACGTGAAAATCACTCCCTAATTACCACCCCAATTGAAAATATTCATTACCACTTTACAATTTAATTTATTTATGTACTTGTGCTCTAAAAAGTTCTAAAAGTTCTAAAAGTTTGACCGGTTTAAAGTGCTTAGTTTTGAAAAAAGTTGAGCTTGAAGTGAAAAGAGAATTTTTGTATTTTTGGAAAAAATGTCTTTTTTTCAAAATAACTCAAAAACTGTTAATGATACGCAAAATTTTGTAGAGTACAAAATTGTAGGTTTTGCTTTTTTGAAAAAAATTTTTTCTGTAGGATAAAAATTAAGTAATGGCTATTTAAAATTTGCATAATATGTTCGTAAATAGCAACTTGTTCAAGCCTTTTCAGCTCAAACCCTTACAAAAATAAAGGCTGAAAATTTAACTTATTTGATCTTATAGCCCTTGAAAAAGCCTACAAAATGACTTTTTTGAAGGGCTTGATAGCAAAAAAACTAAGCGAGTTATGGGTAAAAAACCAATCACATATTTTTGCATATATCAGAACATATACAATAGAAGCATTGATGAATACACATTATAACTATATTTTAGGAATAGAATAGAAAAGGAAGACGAGAGTGAAGAGGATTTTTGATTATTTATACGTTATTTACAAAAAAAAAAAAAAATTTGTTATAAAAATAAAAAAATTAAAATCCATATAAAAATAAAATTGTTATTTTCCTTATTTTTGATTGTAAATTTTAATCAGTAGGGTTTTTTAAGGTTTGATAAAATAAATACATTACATTTTAAATAATAAAAAGATTGCATTATGTTTTGAACTAAAAAAAAATGTTTAACTATAATTATTCGATTTTTTTTGCAAGGGGCGGTTTTTATAAGGGCTGAAACTTATAAATACATAAAAAATTAAAACAGTAAAGAAATCTTAATTTAATATCACTATACGATTAAATTATTCCAAGTTGCCGAATAATATTTTTCAACATTATTTTTTAATGATTACCATCATAGTGGGTGGTTTTTAGGGATTGACAAATTTTCAATTAATCATAATTACTTATTTAAAGATGATTTCAACCTATTACACGCTCGAATCTACAATTCTATAATTATTTTCGAATAGGGGTAGTTTTCACCCTTAAAAAATAAAAAGCAACCCCCGGCACAAGGCCGACTTTGAAGTAGAGGGTAAGTAGAACCTAAATCCAAATTTTGGTGCAAATCGGTGCTATTTGGGAAAATTACACTGTAACGCCGTATTTTACCTTCAATTACTGGACTAGTAATATTTGTTTAAACTTCTGAATAATCTAATTGACTCTCCTAACTTATTAAATCTTGCAAATATTTATGTACCACCCAGAAATTTTTGAGTTTATACATTATTCCAAGAATCATTTTATTACACTAACTCTGGACAAAATTCGCCATTGAACAGAGTTCGGAACTTACAACAATTTATTTTCCAATATACTTAGTTATATTTAGCGTATCACTAGCTAGTTTTAAGAGAGCACTAAAACAAATAACATTCTGTTAGTACCGATAGTTACATTATTGTTATTTATTGTAATTTATTGTATTTATACTGTATGTACACTATATGTATGTGGGTGCATGCATATATATGTGTGTATGTATACATGTGTGTGTATATATGTTTGGTTTGGTTGTTAATCAATTATATTTAGTGAACATTGTTTTGGGCTCTTGGCCAGCCTGTTTATGTTCCGTTTTTTAAATAAATAAATGTAGTCATATTAACCGTGATACTTATCAGGATTGAAAAACGACTTTTTCTTGTGGACGCCATATTGGATCGTCGCATTTTTTATTTCAGCGAATTTTTCTGATTGTGGTGGTATGTCATCAATCGATTTTACAAACATCTTGATGGTAACTAGTTTTTAAATGTAACTTTGATAGTTCAGTTAAATTTTTATTGACAGTGTTAAAAGTTCAGACAATCAAAAAATGCAATTTTCAAATAAGACAGAGCCAAATATTCTTTAAATTAATTAATCAATAAACTTGAAACATATCACGCTCTTCTTCATATCAAAATTGCATTTTAGGATATTCAAATTTTGATGTTGTCATTGAAAATTTAACTGAACTGTCAACATTCGTTTGAAGTAATAGTTGAAAGTTTTGTTATTAAAGCACTATTTGTAATAGTAAATAATTTAATATTCTGACTAAAACAAAGTAGCGAACCTCGAACCATATCATGCTTGCGTTGAATTGAAAAGTGTGAAAATAGCGCCCCTAAGAAAAACATAAGTTGCATGTCGTTTTTCCCGTGGGCGCCACGATTAATGTGTATGATGACTTTTCCATTTTTGATTAAAAACTTATTACGAAAATCAAAATTTTCAGTTTTTTCTCGATAACATTGAAGTAGGTAAGTTAAATTTCTCTACGGCGAGTTATTTGTCATCAAATTCCACAACTTTGCCATAAGCTTACTGACCTATCTTGTATCTCTTAAAATTACTCTGATCCTAATGGTGCAGCTCAAAAAATGGCAACCTGTAAGAACATACACACATATTTTTTAGCAACCATGCAGTTTACAATTAATATGTTAGTAAAGATTTGCTATAATTTTATTATGAGTTAATAAATTTCTATTATAAGCGAGAATCAAGAATTGTCAAAGGAAGTGAAAGAAACGAAAGTGAAATTTATAAAATAAACACTACCTGGGCAGTGGAGTAGGTGTAACCGAGGCAAATGGACCATCTAGTCAATCTCTGGTCAACCCTGAGTTGCCATTTGTATCTTTGTCAGAACCTTTTCCGCTTCCTGAATCATTACTGTGCATACGTTGGTAACTAGGTGGCTGTCGAACTAGACTTGGATTAGAAGGTGTTCCGGGCGTAATATCACCTTTGCTTAAACCTACACGATTCATGAGACCATCAGCACATCGAGAATTTAGCTCCCCTCGCATGAACCTGAAACAAAAAAATAATATTTGGAGATTGTATAAATTCACAGGTAATAATATTAATATCCAGTGCAAGGTAATAATTATGGTAGGTGACTTAATAAATTTTGATTTTCAATATGCTCAATGAATGTCAATAGAAGTTTGTAAGTTTTATTGAGTGGTGATACTATTCTTTAACTAAAATATACACATTTTTTAGTCATCGTATAATCGTTTTGTTATCCTGTTTTATAACAATGCTACAGAAAAAACTCACCTCAACCACATCAGTGAGGCATGCAAAAAGCAAATTATTAATAATTCTATATTTTTTATGTTGGTTCTACTAATGTTCATGTTTTATCTTTCATACAGATGGATGTCAGTTAGTAACATCTACTTTATGTTGTCTAGATAAATAGTCACTTTATGTGTGCATTCTTATATTATCTTATTGTTTTTTTCAACATTCATGTAGGTTTAAAGACTTTTGATTTTACTACCATTGTAATATTAGTGCCATATTAATCTTTTAAAAAAATTATGACAATACTCCATTTATAGTTTAATAACTTCTCTATAAAGTTCTTCTTATGTCTCTATGAATAACAAAATATTAATTTTAATTAAAGATACAATTGTCATTAAAAGCGTGTATAGTGTGAGAGATTTAAGTTATATTGTAAGGATAAATTAAACTCCTTAATAAATAAAATTAAAAGGTCATCTCATCACCAAATATTTGTTGTAACTAAAATATGTAAATAAATCTTTTATATTTATTGCATTTCTCATTGTAAATTAAAGACCTAAGGTTCATGATCATTAAAAAAAATTATTTAAATATATTACTCTAAAAAGATCTTACTATAAAGTTATTACTACAGACAAAATAGCTATCGCCACAGACCGCTACTGGAATAGGCCAGCAGTTTTAAATTTCCGAAATGCCGATAGAGTACACCACCAGCAGAATTTTAGGAAGAATCAAATGCAGCGGTCCGCATTCCTACGCGTATCCTAGCAACATATAAACAAAACTGGTAATGTTGCCAGGCGTACTTACGGATTTCTTTTATACACTTATTTATCAATATCTGTTTTTTGCGTTACTGAATTTACTTAAATGTATAATGTAGGTATTTATAAAAATGTTTTTAAAGAATCAACGAATATCTATGTAGTTTCATATGATATTCAGCAGCAGTGTCACAGTTAGGTTATTTAATCATAATTTTGTTAATTAGCTACTATTTTCATTTTTGGTATTGAAATACTGCGGAAAATATATTTCCAAATAAACAATAAAATTCATAATGATATTTTAAACAGCTTGTAATGTATATTTTTTTAATATTTGATGATGATAAATTTATTTAATATCGGTGTGTTATTAGTAGGTACGTCGCAGAATGTAAGTATAGTTTTTTTTTGTATTTATAACATCTAACCTCAATTAAGCCTTCGCTAATTTTAGTTGCAAAACCATTTTTATCATGTGTCCTTTACGTAATTTAGTTTTAGAAGCCATAGTCTCGTGTATTCAATAGCTTAAATAACCACCAAAGTGTAACAAAAAAAAGAAACACGTCTTTAAGATAAATTTTTTATGCTCTTTCGGAATATCGTATCCGAATTTCAGAAAAATACATACAGAGTGTTGTTTCCTAGACTTGTACAAAAAATAAACAATTTTTGAAGTCCGAACCTGGATTTTTTTGCTGTCATACATGCATACATGAAGTATCGTGAGTGCATTAACCCTACCAAATATGAACCCATTATTCCATTCCCTACCAAAGTTATGACATAAAGCAGTTTTGACTAAAAATCTTAAATCACCCTGTATCTCAATAAGGAATGGCCAAGGAGCTATTTCTATAGGCGATCCCTGTTACCCTAGATGTCCTCTATCTCCCATTAAGCCATGTCCCTCTCGTGATGCAACACCCTGTATGTACACCGTGTCCACCTAGTGCGTGTGTCCAATATCTAGGTTAATAAAAGATATAACTTAATTTTTTTTCTACAGAGTTTTTTTTCCCGAGCTGCACAAAATGAAAATATATTTGCATATACAGGGTGTTCAGTTTTTCCTGGGCAGGTACCAACTTATTTTTTTTAATGGAAACCTGTATTTTTTTATGGCATTATCGAATTCTACGTGAAAAATTAACGGGACTTTGTGTTATGATCCCTATTAAAATATTGATAGTTTTCGAGATAATCGACTTTTCATTTTTTTTCTTATGTATCGTCACTTCTAGTAGATGACATAATTATGATTGTATGACAGCTAGAAATTATTTTTTTTTTCAGGAACTGTAGAGTGAATATGGCTGTTTCAAAAAAACGTATCAAAAGTTGACCTGTGATATACAGGGGGCAAAAAAATCGTGCCAAACCTGATAATTTAAAATTTGAAAAATCTCGACTTTTTCAAATAGAACACCCTGGGTTTTATGATTTCATTAGATGCCTTTCTGTAGACCCTTCAATTTTTTAATAGCTTTCCCTATATTAAAGTTGCGTAGTTTTTGCAAAAAAACCATTTTTAAAATACCGGATTTGCGCCCGTTCCTTTGTCGGGAAAAATATTGTAAGGGTATTTATTTTTATTAAATTTATTAGTTCTCTAGCTACACTATTTAAAATAAAAATTAACAACTGAAAAATTTAGATATTTGAGTTTAATAAATAAGTCTTTATGGAAAATTACCATTTATTTGTAAATAAAATCAAAAAACCATAAAATCGCTACAAGCGATTAAGAATTAGCAAAATATGAGAAATGTTTACTAGCAGCACGTATTTACAAAGCAAATAATCCAAATTTATAGAGATTCCCACTATTTTGAGAATGTGAAGGGAAGGTTTGAATGAACAGCAAATGCGAAGTATGAGAAAACTACAAGGAGACATAAAAGTAACAACGATAATATTTAGTTTAAAGTTGTGGCGTCTGCTGTTGAAAATCCAAATATTAGTGCCAGGAAATTAGTAGTAACCTTGGAGTTTTCAAAAGCTTGACAAATAAAATATTGAAGAAGAAGTTTCATCCGTATCATATTGAAAATCAAGCACTGTCACCGTAGTTAGGAAAGTTATTTGTGAAATTGGAGATTAAAAAATTTGGATGAATAGAATTTTGGAAAAAGAATACTCATAGTCGCAAGCTAACTTAAAATAAATGTTCAAACTGTCCACCGTTGTCTTCTACACAAAGCATTAATCTACGATGAAAGTGAATGTGGACATTTCTTAACATTTGAGGCGTTATAGTTAGAAACTCGTTTTGAATCTTTTCTTTTAAGTCTTGAATATCCGTTGGTGGTACTTCGTATACTCGCTCCTTGATATAACCCCACCAGAAAAAGTCCAGACTATTTAAGTCAGGCGAACGTGCGGGCCAAAGAACTGGGCCACTACGACCTAACCACTGGTTTGGATATACGTGATTTAGGTGTTCTCTAACCTGAAAGATAAATAGGTAATAGGAAAAATATAATAACAATAAAATAATCACAATACAGCCAAAGGAACGGGCGCAAATCCGGTATTTCACATAAAACTGGTTTTTTTGCAAAAACTACGCAACTTAGGTATAGAGAAAGCTATTGAAAAATGGTCTACAGAAAAGCATCTAATGAAATCATAAAACATAGGGTGTTCTATTTGAAAAAGTCGAGATTTTTCAAATTTTAAATTATCAGGTTTGGCACTATTTTTTCCCCTGTATATCGCAGGTCAACTTTTGATACATTTTTTAAAAGAAAGAAAAGAAAAATAATTTCTAGCTATATATTATGTTAACTACTAGAAGTGACGAATCATAAAAAAAAATGTAAAGTCGATTATCTCGAAAACTATTAATATTTTAATAACAAAGTCCCGTTAATTTTTCACGTAGAATTCGATAATGCCATAAAAATATAGGTTTCCATTGAAAAAAAATTAAGTTGGTACCTGCCCAGGAAAAACTGAACACCCTGTATATGCAAATATATTTTCATTTTGTGCAGCTCGGGAAAGTAGGCAACTCTGTAGAAAAAAAATTAAGTTATATGTTTTATTAACCTGGATATTGGACTTACGCGCACTAGGTGGACACGGTGTATATGTTTAAAGTAAAAAAATCATTAAAAAAATTAAAATTCATCCTTATTGAAATAAAAAACAACGATTTTTATAACTAACCTTCAACAACATAAGGAGAATACCTAAAAACGAAATAACATTAAAATACCTACAATTTTTACAAATCAACATGTAAGTAATTGTGATGAAAATCATATAAAGAACTGAGTGCAATGTTATGTAAACAATTTAATGCAACGACGAGTGTGTGGCGTGAGAGGCGTAAATTTTATTTACTCCAGCAGAACGACGAAACAATTACGGAATGGTACGCCAAGATACATTCTTTTGCGATGCACTGCAATTTCGGAGCAGACTTAAATAAGGCAATTAAGGACAAATTTGTGACGGGGCTAACGAGAGGGAAAATTCTGGATCGTCTGTGCGAAGAAGAGGACGGTAGATCATTGGACGAGTTAGTGAATATTGCCCAGAAAACAGAAAATAGTGCGAAGGTGAATTTCATCAACCCAAAATTCCCGACAAGAAGCACAGGATCACCGCCATCACAAACTGGAACCGGAAACCAATACCACAGGAAACAGAGACAGCCATATCCGGGTGCGCAACCATGGAAGAGCAGCCATGGAAGAAGGGAAGTGTCGAATGGTCGGTTGGTAGCACCGGTTACAGACAAGGTCAGATGACGGGGAGGAGTCACAGGCAAATGTCAGGAAAAGATAACCCTATTTTAAAATGTAAGTGTTGTGGAAATAGACATAATAATCCATGTAAATTTAGAAATAGTATTTGTAATAAATGTAATCGTAAGGGGCATCTAGCTAAAATATGTAATTTTAACGGAGATCTGCATTTCGTGGATCAAAGAATAAATCAAGATTCAAAAATTAATGTAACTTGTGATAAAAACAGTTTATTTTGCTATACAAATTGGCAAAAACGTCCAGAGATACAGAACACCAAAGATAATTGTAAGATTTTAAATGACAACCCCTTTAACATTGTAATAAAAATAGGAGATAAGGAACACCATTTCTTTTTAGACTCGGGAGCTTCGGTATCATGTTGTAGTCACGATACGTATTTGAAAGAGTTTTCTAGTTTTAGGTTACGACAGGCGAATATGTTGTTGACGAGTTATAATGGAGACACATTCTCACCTGTGGGATGTTTTGAGGCGAAGGTGGAGTATAACGGGAGGATAAAACCTGTGAAGTTCTATGTGGTCTCCGGTGGAGGACCGAGCTTGCTAGGCAGAAACTTCTTAGAAAATTTTGAGATCAAGGTCAGTTTAATAAATAGTATAGAAACCGACAATAAACTGAAAGAATTAATGCACAAATATAATAGGTTGTTTTCTGATAAATTAGGTAAATATAAATATAGCCAAGTATCATTAAAATTAAAAGAGAAAGTCAACCCAATTTTTTGTAAACATAGGACAGTTCCTTTCGCATATAAGAGGGTGGTTGAAGAGGAATTGAATAGAATGGAGGCCGAGGGGATCCTGGAGTCGATACCTGATTCAGAGTGGGCAACTCCATTAGTGCCGGTATTAAAGAGCAACGGAAAAATAAGACTTTGTGGCGACTATAAAGTAACTTTGAATAAATTCCTCGAAGATTATAAATATCCTTTGCCTAGAGTGCAGGAGGTATACTCTAAATTGAATAAAGGAAAATATTTCTCAAAAATAGACCTGCAAATGGCTTATAACCAATTACCTGTAGATGAGGAAACGGCAGCGTTACTAACAGTGAATACAACGAAAGGGTTATATAGAGTGAAACGTTTGGCTTTTGGTGTTAAACCCGCAGTTAATATTTTTCAGAAAATAATCGAGAATGTTTTAGGAAATATGGTAGGATGTTGTAATTTTCTGGATGATATCATTGTGAGTTCCGAGACAGCGGAAGAGCATCTGTTGAACTTGGAGGAGGTTTTTAGAAGACTGCGGGATGCTGGGTTCACAGTATCTAGAGATAAGTGCGAATTTTTCAAGAGAGAGGTACGATATTTGGGACATTCAATCAGTGAAGCTGGATTGAGGAAAACGGATGACAAAGGGCGATATTGCAAGCAACAAGACCAATGAATGTTTCAGAAGTGAGAAGTTTCTTGGGATCGGTGAGTTACTATTCAGGTTTCGTTAAAAATATAGTAGAAATTTTGAATCCTCTGTACGAGCTTTTAAAATCAGACAAACAGTTTTACTGGTCTAAAAAGTGCGAGATAGCATTTAATAGAATTAAAGAAATTATGGCTACAGACCAAGTGCTGGTGCATTTTGATCCGGAACTACCTATAATCGTTCATTCCGATGCATCCAATGTAGGCATAAGCGCTACGTTGTCGCACATGGTTGAGGGAAAGGAAAGGTTAGTGGGATGCGTATCTAGGAAATTAACTCCGGCAGAAGTAAAATACCCAACATGTCACAAAGAGGCGTTAAGCATCATTTTTGGAGTTTCTAAATTCTTTTATTATTTGTGTGGTAACAAATTTATTTTAAAAACAGACCATAAGCCACTAACTACAATTTTTGGAGAACACAAATCTTTACCACAATATTCAGCGAACAGGTTACAGAGGTATGCGGCGTATTTATCAATGTTCAATTACGAAATCCAACATATACGTGGAGAAAAGAATATAACGGCAGATGAATGGCTTAGCATTGGTGAACGCTAAGAAATTGGCCAGGTCAGTAATATATTGGCCCAATATCGACTTAGATATTGAAAGGATGACAAAAGCATGTATACCATGTTTGACTACGAAACCAACACCGCCGAAAAACGAATTGACGCCATGGGGACAGACGGAAGAACCATTCGAAAGAATTCACTTGGACTTCTTGGGTCCATTTAAAGGTAAAATGTATTTAATAGTGGCAGACGCTTTCTCAAAGTGGATAGAAGTGTGTAAAATGAAAAATACTACGGCATTCGAAACGGAGAAGAAACTAAGGAAATTAATAGCTCGCTTTGGATTGCCTAATACGATTTGTTCCGATAATGGACCGCAGTTAACGTCAAAATTACTTCAACAGTTTTTTTAGAAGGAACGGTATAGAGCACGTACTAATTCCTCCTTATAATCCAAGCAGCAACGGAGCGGCAGAGATAATGGTGAAACTATTTAAGAATAGATTGACCGCGGCAGTAGAAGATCCTAGAAACAAAGAGGTGCCTATTTCGACATTAATTTCACGCTTCTTATTAACATACAACCGGAAAGGCTCCAGCTCAGTTAATGTTAGGCAGAGAGGTCCGCACGAGATGGAAGCTGTTGAAAGAATCCAGGGAAGTACAGACGGAGGATAATCTTCCAGAAAAAGTAAGAACGCCAGTAGCCGTACAGAAAAGAAAATACGTAGGTCGAAAAAGACAGAGTGTAGTAGGTAGCATAGTATATGTGAAGGATTATAGAAGAGAAGATAAGGTCACATGGACCGAGGCGGTAGTAGAAAAACAAATAGGAAGATCAGTATACCTATGTCGTTTAAAAAACGGACAATTGTGGAAAAGACACATGAATCAAATAAAAACTACAAGTTTTGAAAACCATGAAGCCCAAGCTAGCCAATCGACAAATACAAGGACTCAGCAACCACCTGTTAAATGCGATAATTCAAAATTCATTTTCCCTGATATAAATCATAATGCAATTCCTAGTAATGAGTATTTTATAAATTTGCCTGGATGGACGGACGAGCTCGGTCATACACTGGAGAACAGCCGAACAGAGCAGGTAAATTAGAGTCTAATAATGTAATCGAGTTAGAAAATACACAAGTTAACGTAGATAAGACAAATAATATAGCGAATCAAGTAGATAATGTAACAATTAATATTCCAGAAAAGAATGTACCCAGGAACCAGGTCGAGGTGTCACATTGTAACAGTAATTCACATAAGCAGGTAGATAGGCTGACAACACCTGAGAAGGAGAACTTCTCCACCTCAAATACGGGGGTGGAAACGGGGGTCTCAGGTCGCCAAGAGGAAGCGACTAGAGAGGAGGCTTCCGGCGAAGCTAAAGCCATCAAGAGGGGGAGAGGTACTCCGAGCAGAGCAAGACTGTCTACACAGAGAGACAGATTAAAACGGCAAATAAAGTTGCCGAATTATTTAAACGAATATTGTTTAAGTACTAAGGATTAATATGTAAAATTTTATGTATAAGTAGGTTAGAAGTTCCACACGGAAATCAATTAGTTATGTTAAAACGGTTAACATATATTTGGTGTGGGGGTGTTCCATGGTTAACCTACAACAGGACCATGGGTCGGTGGTCAGGGTCACGGCAGAGCGTGGTAAGATGTCATGAAGGACAGTTATAGAGGTTGTCGAATGATATAGAATCGCTCGAATGTATAGTGTGTAAGAATAAAGTGTTATCACCTGAACTCGTGGTTTCCTTTATACAGGAAGGTTCTTTTCTGTCAATCGTGTGCAAGAGAGATAGAGTCATAGCGTGCGATAGATAGAGTGACTTTGTCCTCATAGAGGGCTTTTCTCTTTGTCTCTCTCTCTCTGCTGTCTTTAGGAGTCTCTGGGGCTTCTCCAGCATCTTCAGGACACCTAGAGAGGCAGCGTGGGGTAGAGCGCGTGGCCTTTTTAGCCTTCGTCATCGAGCTATGATGTCACAACGTATGAGAAAAAAAAAACGGTTTTTGCTCGTAACTCGGAAATGGCTGGAAACAAATCTCCTCTTGGTTCTGAGGAGAGCACTCGGTGGGTGACGCAGAGCGGGGTGTCACAATTTATGAAATAAAAAAAAATAGTAGTTGCTTATCCCTTGGAAATGATTCGATGTATCAAAAAATCTCCCATGGTACTGACTGGGGATCGAGTGAAAAACGTCAGAAGTCAGCATGTCGAAAAAAAATCGGGACCAACGGTGTGTGACATCGTAGAATAAAAAAGTGTCTTCTGCGTTGAACGCAAAAGGTCCGAAGTCCATATGTTGAAATTAAATTTCTGAAACAAGAGGTGTGTGACAGTACAGTAAAAAAGGTCTTATAACTCGGAAACCGTGAATTGAATCGAAATACTAATTAAAAAAATCTCCCCTACACACCTGGTTTTGATTGTCCATTCTCCGTTAAATGCAAAAGGTCCGAAGTCCGTATGTCGAAAATAAATTTTGGAAACAAGAGGTGTGTGACGTCATAGAGTAAAAAGGCCGTATAACTCGGAAACAGTGCGTTGAATCGAAAAAGTAATTAAAAAAATTTCCTCACACCCCTGGTTCTGATTGTCCCTTCTGCGTAAAATGCAGAAGGTTCGACGTCCGTATGTGGAAAATAAATTTCGGAAACAAGAGGTGTGTGAGGTGATACAGTAAAAAAGGTCTTATAACTCGGAAACGGAGTGTTGAATCGAAAAAATAATTAAAAAAATCTTCCCACATCCCTGGTTCTGATTGTCCGTTCTGCGTTGAATGGAAAAGGTCCGAAGTTCGTATGTCGAAAAACAAAAAAGTTAGTCAAAAACTGCAACAGCAGTAGCGAACGCAGTATCTTATCTCTGTAAGGGATCATTGATTGATGATTTATTTTTTTTAAATAAAGTTGGTATTCAACTACTCCTAGAGATTCCAGCAATTTTACTTGTGTAAATTTTTTTGAACACCTTGTATCATACATTAGAGCACTACCAATGGCACCCATGATATGTAACACTTATGTCAATAATTATTTTACCTATCTAAAGAAATCAACATTAAGAGAGCAGTACCCATCTAAGGATACACACACCTGCATAATGTAATCTTTTAAAACATAGGTGTTAATACCGTACCAAATTGGAAGTCGATGCACAAATCTAAAAATATTAATTTTAAGTTTTTCAATTATCCTACTCCAAGGTGATATAAAATAAATAATTAATTAGGTATATTCATAGTTTTAATTCTAACTTGATTTATTTTATTTAGCATTTATCACAAATCTGATTTCCAAACAAAAGATAAGTTCCATATCTCTTTAATTATTACATAACTGAATGCATTAAATTTATTTGGCAGTTATTACACAGACCAATAAATTTTAACTTTTTTGGAATCAGAAACTTGAATATATATTTCCGAAGGATTTAGGTGCGCTGAATCCGAATCTGGCAGTAGAATTGCTCTATCACGTCAGGTTTTTGAGATATCCTAACCTAAAAGTGCAAAAAACACTGTTTTCCGTCATATTTGAGGTTATGTAGTAATGCCATCTATTCTTTTTCAAAAAACTAATATATTGAATCTAAAAGTACAAGGCTCCCTCCTTCGAATGCCGTTGAGCTCAATTTTTTTTATTTTTCGTTGAGATATCACGTGGAAATTTTTAAGTTTCTCAGTTTCTTAATATGCGAAAATCTACCAAGGATCCTTGATGCCTACATTAAGTCGATTGCAATTCAGAAACTTCACACCCATACGGTTTGTGGGTATGGAGTTGGTGGGCTTGGGGTTTCTAAGCTTGGAGTTTGTAGGTTCGGGTTTTGTGGGATTGGGGTTTGTGGGTTTAAGGATTGTGGGTTTAGGGATTGTGGGTTTGGGGTTTGTGGGTTTGTGGATTTGAAGTTTGTGAGTTTGAGTTCGTATATATTGAAGGTTTCTGAGTATGAAGTTTCTGACCTGCAATCAACTGTTTGACGTCTAAGGGATCCTTAGTAGATTTTTTCATATTAAAAACTGATAAACTTAGAAATTTCAACATTAAAAAAAAAAGATATTTGAGCAAACTCAACGGCATTCGAAAGAGGGAGCCTTGTACTTTTAAATTATATGTAATTTTTTTTTTTAAAAAAAGAATAGATGGCATTACTACATAACAGTGTTTTTTGAACTTTTTGGTTAGGATATCTCAAAAACCTGACGCGATAGAACAATTCTGCGGCCAGATTCGGATTCAGCGCACCAAAATCCTTCGGGAATGCATATTAGTGTGCCTGCTTCTTGACTCTTGTTGACCTGTGTTATTTGGCAACAATGCCACCGCTAGAACTGTCGTCTATTACCAAGTAGAAAAGTTACCACGCTAAATTTTATTGATGGATGCCGGCTAAGAAAAGCCTGCATCCTTTTCGGGTTGTCAAT